TTTTCATTACTTTTCTGCTGTTGTTTCTTTGCATTTGCCGTAGCTCTATTTGATGGGAGTGAATAGAAGACAAAACGATTTGCAAAGCAGACTTGAGATGTGTTTGATGCTGTGAAATGCTTCAGAATGCTGTGTTGGGGTGGAGGAGAGGGTGAACTTACAGGGGAGAAAGTGAGGGTTTGCTTGTTGAAGTAAACCGTGTTATGCTGTTTGCGTTTGTGGAAAGCTCATGAGAAGAAATCTGTTTGGTATGCAGGATGCTTCGCACGTGTTTTTATGCTGAAATGTTTGAAAACCAGTGTTGGAGTATGTAATTAAGGTATTGAAACTACAAAACAAATGGCATCGTGCTGTTTTTGAAAGCCAAGATGCCCATTTTTGTTGTTTTAGGGGAGGGCTGCCCATCGTGTGCTGTGTCTCTTTGCACTCATGTTTCACATGGCTTTGCAAGATGTAGAAGTGAGTTTTGGGAATGCTGACAGTGAGCCAGCGATTTTCTCCATGGGGAGAATTAACCTGGAATCAACCCAAATTACATTGTAGATTTTTATTTTACTTTTTAAAATTTCACTCTTATCAGTATATAATAGTAATCTCTACAGCATTAGGATTTGATGCTCGGTTTAAATGAGCTAATTCCCTGCACTGATTTTCTGAACACTGTGACCGGTATCTATCCGGGGCCCGATACATTCTGTAACGTTTCTTCCAATAGGTGTACCTCCTGATGCCTGATAACCCTGAGGTTTGATGGTTTAAAACCAATTAACTTCTCACTGGCTAGCGATAAAGAAAGGCAACTTGATTTTCTTTTGCTCAGCATTTACAAATTTACCAGGAAAAGGAGCAGACTGAGCAGAAATAGCAAGGAGATGTTAACAGGACCTCTTTTTCCCAATGAAGTGCACTCAGATAAGGCATATATCTATACATACTCTGCATGCTTCCAACTGTTCCTGTGGTTGCTGGATGAAAGTCATGTGTTGTGTACTTGAATTATTCTGGAGTAACTCCTCAGTGCAGGTGCACATATTCAGTGCATGGTAGGGCTGTGTGACTTACTGGAGCACAGGGAATCAATGACAGAGCTGAGGAGCTAGACCAAATAACTTACTGCTTGAAGGTTCTTCTCTACAAACATGAGGGTGAATGCTGAGTTATTTATAATAGTTTGCACATGTTGCATGGATAGTGACTCAGTATTTTTTCTCAATGTATTTATTTCAGAGCTGCAGTTGCACCCTGCTTTAAAAAAAAAAAAAAAGCATGAAAACAGAAGCTTTCTGTTCTGCACTCGTTAATTTTTCACTGACTCCTGTGATCTTTGGGCCCTAGATAGGGGAGATGAGAGGATGTGGGAGGACTGGCAAAGGTTGTTCGTGCATCAACCAGTGAAGTTTAAGGAGAGAATGAGAGTTTCTCCCAGTGACATTCCCCAGCTCTGCAGTCTCTTTGGATAATGTGAATATTTGTCAGCTGGTGACATGGAGCAGCAGTTGGACTCTGGACAGCTTCTCACTGGACACTTGTTGGTTTTTTCTTTTGTTTTTAATCCACTTCTGCATGCAGGTTCCTCTTTACTCACTTACACAACAAGGCTGAGTGAGGTGACTGTGGCCATTTCTGCAGCTTTCTGATGAATGAGTTTGGGACTTAATTTAGCTCTGCTGGTTACCATAGCTCTATCAATTTTGGAGCATCATTGCCTTTCAAGGAGATAGTATAGCTTAAAGCTTGTGAGGAGAAATATTCTTCACTGGTTCGAGATCAGCAGGAGTTGTAACTTGCTGGATGAAACATTCTGCTGTCTTGTGTCTCTTCCTAATCCCAGAGAATATGTGTTCTGGACATATCCAAGGTCAGGCAGGATGGACTCTGAGCACCTGATTGAGCCGTAGATGTCCCTGATCATTGCAGGAAAGTTGGACATGGTGACCTTTAAAGGCCTCTTCCAACTCAAGCAATTCTATGATTCTGAGATATTATTTGAAGTGTTGTGTTACAGGGAGCAGTGTGAGACTGGAACCCAAGACCTCCAAAGCTGTAATTTGGCACTTGCTGTGCAACACTGGATTACTGATTTTACTGGAAGTTGCCAGCATATGAATTTTTAAACAGAGGTTAGCACAGATACCTGAAGAATATCTAAACAAGTTCAGTATACATAAAATTATTACCTTTTTTTTTTTTTTTTTTTTTTTTGTGAAACAGCAGGAGAGTTGCATGTTTGTCAGCATTCTCTTTAATGTGTCTGGCTTCTGCTGTTTAAGTGAATTTCTATTGAGCAAGATAGGGAAGAGAAATGTTAAACTATTAGAAGTATAAAGGCACAAGCTCGAGTTTTTTCAAATTTGATGAATCAACTGAAATTGCATTTAAAGCATTTTTTGTGCTGTATTTTTAGTTAATTTTGGTTTCAAAACACTTATTTTTTTGTGTGTGTGTGTGCTTTTCTGACTGAGGTGGTATTTCTAGAAAAGGTGAACTGATCAGTGCTTTCATCACTGTGACGGTTGCAGCTTTTAAACACTTTTGAGTTTTCAGTCAGTTTTATCATAGAATGCCTTAAGTTGGTAGAGACTTCAAAGCCCCTCCAGTTCCAACCCCTGCTATGGGATGGTTGCCCCCAACTGGCTCAGGCTGCTGAGGGCCCCATCCAGCCTGGCCTTGAGCACCTCCAGGGATGGGGCACCCACAACCTTGCTGGGCAACCTGTTCCAATGTCTCACCACCCTCACTGTAAGCAGTTTCTTCCCGATATTTAGCCTAAATCTACCCCTTTTCCAGTTGAAAACCATTTGCCCTTGCCCTCCCAAGACTGCAAGACACATATCTGTCCCATTCCTGGGGCTGTACAAGGGCCTTTTGAGAGCCCTGCCTATAGCAGGGGGTTGGAACTAGATGATCTGAAAGGTCCCTTCCAACCCTAATCATTCTTTGTTAAGTATGGTGTGTCCTTATCTGTTGGTATGGTTTTGGGTCTGGGTGATGTCTGCCCTGGGGATGAGAGCTGAGCCTCCACATGGATCATCTCTGAGCATGGCACAGTCAGGAATTTCAAGAGCATCTGGAGAATAAACATCCAGGGAATAAATATGTTCTGCTCTGGGGCTTGTTAAAGAGTTTTCCTCAGGCTTTGCACTTTAACTGGCTGTTTAGCTTGGTCCTAACAAGTGGTTCAGTAGTTCAAAGGTATCTCCGTGGTCTATAGAGTGACTAAAAACGACATAAAATTTTTTTGTCTGTGTCAACAAAGTTCAATTTTTTAATGGTAAAACACTTCTATTAAATGCACAGTAACTATAGGGATCTCAAATCTGCCCTAAAATTGTGATGGCCTTAATTACATTTGTGTAAGCCCCTGGATTTATCTATCCCTGGAGTCTGCAGGGGAAATAATTGGCACTTGTACTAAATATTGTATGAACAAAAGTAAGAGATGGTTCTCATCGCACAGAGTTCACACTCTTAATACAGACAAAAGAAGCAAGAGAATTAAAACAAGCACCTTGCCCACAGTCACACAAGAGCCCTGTGTTACAGAGCTGAGAATCAAAGCCATGATCTGAGCATTACTCTTATCTTCACCGCAAGACTGAGAAGAGAAATTCTAGAACAAAATTCTTATTTCCTAAACGTATCTGCAGGCAGAAGTTGGCTGGGGGTTTGAATTCATCCAGTGATGTGAGAACCAGCCCGCTCGGCTGCTTTGGCTTCAAGATAAATCAAGAGGAGATTAGGTTCAGAAAAAGAACAAAAGAGCATCCTTTCCCCCCGCCCCCTCTGCCCCGACCCAGTTCTCTAGAGCTGAGCCTTCTGATTCTGAGTTCAGAATAGTGATTTTGTTCCTTCAATAAGCATGGGCTGGTTTCCCATTGTTACTTTAGTAATCAAATTGCAACTTATCATTTAGGGTTATAATGTTTTCATAAGCCATAGTGTTAATAATGTAGTATAATTTTATAGAATAACAAAAAAATAGATGTAGTTTAAGGCATCTATTTGATGATGATGATGAGTTAGGATGAGACTCAAAGCAATGCCATAGGTCTGAAGTCAGGTGCCCCATTCTCCCTCTGGAGGCGTTTGGAGGAACTGATCTCTGTCTGCTTAGGGAAACTGAGGCACTTGAAGGACTTCTGTGCTGTATAATTTACATCTCTGACCCCAATTACATGTGTGGAATGAAGTACATCGTCTCTTAGACTGCCTTCTTCTGGGGAATGTGTAAAAGCAAGGTTCTGACTGCTTGGCCAGTAAGGCTTCATTGTACTTTTTATAAGAAAAAGAAGGTTTTTGCTGCAGAATCTAACTTGAATTGCACCATATGAAATTGGTCCCTAAAATCTAGACTAGAATATTCCCTTATCATCAGAATGCTGTTGATATTACTATGTTTCATCCAGGAGGTATATCTAGCTGGTAGGTATAGTGACTCATAGCTTATGAAGCCTGTAACTTCCATCTGATGGAAAGATACTATGTAAAGAATTTTTGTTATCAAGAGATACTCAAGATATCTTCTTTTTTTGTTCCCTATGAACTAGTTTCATTCAACAAATAGAATTATTAATTTTCTAAATTGAAAAATAATATCTGGTCGGTTATGTGCTGGTTGAGGGACACTTCGAGCATATTGTGGGCTTGTTTTGCTCGTTTTAATGTACTTTTTGAAATCAGAGTGCTTTGAGTGGTGTGTGTTGTTAATTTTCTGTTGCCAGGGACAGCTGCCTGTTAGCTTTCCTCTCAGTTTTCCTTGCTGTGCTGTTGATGGACAGTTCTTTAAAATGGTAGGGATTGAAATAAAACATTTTTTAACAGAAATATGTTCTTAACTTGGAACTTTTTTATAGCTCAGTGAGTGATAAACATAACAGAGCTGTGGATCATTAATCTCCATTACTGGTACTGAGAGTAGGCAAACTGTAATCTCTGCGAGCTAATTTTTTTTACCTGGATTTTTGAAAAAGTGTCATTGTTATGTTGTTGTTTTGTTACAGATGGCCGCACAGATCCAATTTTGGATGACGTAGGGGATGCCTTTAAGCTCATGGGGGTTAATCTACATGAACTGGAAGATTATATACACAATATTGAACCTGTGACTTTCGCGCATCAAATCCCTTCATTTCCCGTCAGCAAGAACAATGTCCTACAATTTCCTCAACCTGGGAGTAAAGATGCAGAAGAAAGGAAAGAATATATCCCGGACTATATGCCACCTATTGTCTCTTCTCAAGAAGGTGCGAAATTAATCATTTTGTTTTCAGTTTTGGTCCTTGCATGTTTGCATATTTGTTTTTTGATGCATATTACATCCTTGTGCTGTGTAGTCACTGCAAATTACACAGGCAAAGGTGATATTAAAGCATGATGTCAAAACAGGTGACAGTGCTGTGGCAGAAGCTAGTTTTTCACTCTTATTTACCTGCTTCTGGTATCAAAATGTGCTACGTCAACACACATTTCTATAACATGCTTAAGTTCTAGGATGATAAGAAATATTCTTTACTGTACCTCGTATGTGATAGCCTCCCTCTCTTGTACGTAGTGCAAGAGGTTTTAAATTTGGTAAAGGCAGAAGAAGGAGGGGTAGTGAGACTGGCACAGCATTCTCAGCTCCTGGCACTGGGTACTTCTGTTGAGTGAATGGAACGGGGAAATAAAAAGAAGAAAAAGAAAAAAAAAAAAAAAAGAAAACAGCCAAACTAAAGTCATCTTCTAGTTGATTTAAGTCTGATTTAAAATAAAGAAATAAGATTTGTTTAGAGGCACAGTGCTTGCTTCTAATTTTCTTTACTGACATTGGCTGGTATTTCTTGTATTTTATCATCGCTATTCCAAGTGCTTTCTTTTTCTGTATGAAAGTTGCACAGAGGCAGGGGCTGAGGCTTGCTGTAACAGTGAAACCAACTGTAGAAATGCAGCAAGCTGCAGTTAACCCAAGGATTTAGCAGTGGCATTGAAAAAGGGAAGATTGCTGTTTTCCTTTTTTTTTTCTTGTTCTTTTAGCATGAAATTTGATTGTTAGCTAATAAGGTAAACGTTTAAGAAATGTAACCTCGTCTAAATTTCTCTTCAATCAGTGAACGTCCTGTGTGTATGCTTTGGGAGGAAAAAAAAACACGTATAAGTTTGTGGTTTGCAAAAATGCCAGACAAACAGAATCATTCTTCCCCAAAAGAGTGAAACAAAATGACACAATTCCCAAAATATTTATTTCATTTAAAATTTTGGAGGGGACAGAATCGTGCTCTGTTGTCTCTCTTGTTTTTTTTTTTGAAGAAGTTAGATTTCAAAGGCTGAAATACATACAAAAATTCTGCCTAGTGTAACAACGAATAAGTGATGTTGCCTTACCAATAAGGTGAAATCCACGACTCTGCTGCTATAAACGTTGGATGGGGCAATTTTTCAATAATTTAGAAAACAGTAGTAAGTATATCTTCTATCTTTCTTATAGGATGTTCAGATAGCATTTCTGTGTGCTTCAGTTTTTCTAAGAGAAACTAGAGTTGGAAACAGCTATCTGCTTGTAAATGGATGTCAGATACAGTACTTCTAGTGTGTGTAGTTGTCCAGAAAAATGTTCTATTTCCAGTAACAGCTGGAGGACTTGCTCAAGCTGGGAAGTGTTTCCTGACATTTTGTAGACTTGACTTTTCTATTGTCTCTAATTGCATAAAATAGATAGGTATTTTAATAGTTTTGGTCTATAAAATCTCTTACCTCCATATAACCCGGGAAGTGAAAACGTTGTTCAGTGCAGAAACATTTTCTTGAATTGATAAGAAGATACTGGTAGCTCTTCTTTATGAACGTTGTTGAAAGTATCGTTCAAAACCTAGCAATGAACTCTTGAGCTGGGAAGAAAAGGCAAAATGTAAATAATGTGTATCTATGTTATAACAGCATCAATAAGAGAAAAGCGTAGAAGGCGACTTTGGAAAGTGAAAAGGGATTTTGGCTGTGCTGTTCTGGCTACTTTCTTCATACTCTCGAGTCTGATTTTTTCAGGAGGTAAACAAACACCATTCTGTCAGAGCAGTCCCACTCCTTTGATGTGTAATAGGCTACCCGACAGCCTTTTGGGTTTTTTTACTTGGAAAATCAAACTTGAAAAACACGCAGGAAAGATCAAATCCTAAAGAGCTCAAAGCATCGATAGAAGAACATCAGAGTGTAGGGGAGGGAGAGGTGAGAGAATTACAGACTCAGTCTGGCTCTACATGACTTGTAAAGAGAGAGTAAAAATTGAAATGAGGACAGTTGTACTTTTTTTTGTATGTAACTTTTTATACTCTCTCCCTTGCAAGTTAGATCCAGGAGTTAGATTTTAGCAGTCCTTATAAATAATGTATGAATCCTTTTAACACCCGAAGCAAGAAGATATTATTTCCAAAGTTGGATGAGAACCAGGAAAACTTCTAATGCCTAAGGCTAGTATATCAGAGGACCCAATAGACACAACTTCACAAAAAAGAATACTTTTTTTAAATAGCAATTTAAAGCGAGCATTAAATATGACAGCCAAATATAGGTTTTTTATAGCTGAGTTAATAAAACTTAGAATTGAGAACATTTTAATTTTGAGGAAATGTTTGCTGAAAATACTATTTGTAATTTTGTGCTCGATGTGTTTTCGTTCGGGTTTTATTTTTTGGGAGTTTTTTCTTTAAGGGGAGAAGGTAGATCAAGAGACTGCCATAGATGTTTTGTTGCATTGGAAGAAGAAGGTTTACTTTTGCAGATTTGAGAAATGGATTGTAGAAATTCTGAAGAGTCGCAAAAACTTTTAATAGTTTGCAGATCTTCATAGGTTAAACAAAACTGATGGCTAATGTTAGGCAATTCACAATACTTGAGTTGCTTTGAGTGTAGTAATTAGCCAGTAACAAAGGAAGGGTTCGTGTGTGTTGTGATGTGCAGTGTTAATCTTTCAGTCCCATAAAATAGGAAGAATAGCTACGTCCCATTTGATACTGAAGCCTTGAGCTCAGATCATGCAATGAATATTTATTTACTGCTAATGATTTAGATATTACTGGTGCTGATACAATTAACAGTAATGTGACTGTGATGGTCTAAAGGAAGGAGTAAAAGAATGTTTATTAGGTGAGGTGGTATCTTTTTAATTTTATCAGCTGATCCAATTAAAAGTATTATCTCTAGTGTCAAAGTGACTTCATAGGTAATTCTAGATCAGTACTTGAGTAGTAAAAAGATTTTTTTTAATTGTTCATTGAGATAAAAGTCAGTGTTCAGTATTCGCCATGACCAGTAGGTGCTGCTAACCCCCTTCTCAACGCTCCTTGTGTTCCATGTGTGTCGCTGGCTGCTTATTTCCACTCCTCTAGAACTGCTGCTTTTGTATTTGGAGTATGCAGTCTACCCAGCAGTTTTTAAGATATCTGAGTTATCACTGTGCTGTTATCAAGTTTTTGGCAAAGTTCTGTCCAGCCTGAGCAAAACCTTTTCCTTCACATATACACTTAATAGTGAGAAATGCTGAAACAGCGCTCTGAATGATTTCTGAAATTGCGGGGGAAGGGGATGACAGCAAATAGGTTTTCACCATCTGTAGTTTGTATCAGTTGGGAGTTTAGTTCAGGGCTGAAAGTTTTGTTCCAAAAAAGCACCGAGCACTTTCTTGCCTAAAACTAGAAGTGCCTTATTTCAGTAGGTTGCACTAACTAAATGATCTGGTCTCATCCGAAAGCTGGCACTGCAAGGACCTGCATATGAAATTATATGTTTTGTAAAACAATCTGATTCAGTATTGCCATAGCAAATGCTGGTTTTTAGCAGTATTTTTACAAAGGCCACTGAAGGAATAATTTTATGCCAATGTATCACGATGTTCACTGTCTCCCTAATTTTAATTAGTCTCCTTTTTGTATTTTTTGGAGTTATTTTAGCACTGTTGTCAGTAAAATGTCATGGTAAACTTGTAAGACAGATTAAAGAAGGAGAAAAAAATAAATTAGTTGCAAAACATGATGGTCATGCTTTATTTCTTGCTCTTTAATGTAGAAGAACATAGTTTTGCAATAATACGTCAACTTCATAGAATTTATTGATTTCATTTGAAGCAAAACAGTACTGAGTTGAAACTAGGCCAATTGAGAAAGCCCAGCTACTTTTCCATAGCTAATAATAATCATTATTACATTTATTCTGTGATACTGTGTAAAGCCCTGGCTCCTGGCATTCTAAGAACGTGTATCGTTCTCCATTAACTAAACAAAGCCAAGTGTATCTTCTACATGTGCAATGGTAACCTTAATTTTAAGCTTCCTGGAAACAATTTCTACCTGTATTTGATGCATTGCCACGTTTTTAATAATATATATTTCTTTAAATATCCACTTTCTCATCTTTCTCTTTCTGGGTTAGCCCTTCCTTGCTTCTGTAGATGGGAGGCTAAAGAAAACATGTTGCTTTTGTGCTTGTCGTGATAATTCACATTAGACCTTAATTCCTCTCTGCCCCGTGATTGTGTTGGGGTACACAGAAGGATACGAGGGAAGAAACATGAGTCTCTTCCCAATGTTTGAGGTGTTTTGTAGGGAGAAGTGGGTGGTTTCTAGGGAATTAAGCAATCTTTTTAATCCTTGCTTTCTTTTTCTGTCATCTGCTTCATATCTCTTTGCTTCCCACTCGTAGAGGTTCAACTCCTTTTCCTTGAAGATCATCTGGAAACAAATGTAATTTGTACTGGGAAATATGTTTTGTGGTCTTTCATTTTTGATAACATGCACTGGCATTGTATTTCTGATCTTTGGAATCAGGACCAGTTCTTGGCATGATGTATAAATTTATTTGTACCCTTTTCTGTCAAAGCATTTTATTTCCCCAGCAGATCAAAGCATAAAATTGTTGATCTCCTTAACAGTCCTGTTTTTTTCCCCCTCTTTGCTGTTGATGTGATATTGGAACCCATTACCCACCAGAGCCTAGTGCTTGCAGCCACCTGGTAGCATTGAAACCCGGCTGTCCAATTACAGAACACCTCTAGTTGTTCACATAACGTTGGTTAGTAAAAATCCCTTTTGAATTGATGAGAACGAGTGGAATGAAGCAAGGTTGGTGATGAAAATTAACATTTTTGCATCTGATGTCTAGGACCTCCTGGTGCTAGACCTGTAACTGTGTAAGCATAAAGCATCACAGTGGCATAAAGCATTAGTGTCTAGCTCTGGTGGCTAGATATATGAGATTTTAAAACTGTCACTGGCCCCTCAGTCTTGCAGTGCTTTTTTTTGGCTGCGGTCCAGAACTGAATGTAGCAAGGATCTCAGAACAGCCTAATTTCAGTCTCTGGTTTCCTCAAGGGTTAAACAAAGGCAATACCGCTTTCTAAATTAGCATGCAATGGACTTTAAAAAGAGTACAGGGATATCAACTTTGCCATTTTGATAACACAGGTCTCGCTGTTGCTGTTTTTAAGCCTTTCTGCCTTTCCCCTGATCTACTTTAATTCCACAGACTAACTCTTCTCTGTTCTAACAGCTGCTGGTGGTTTAAAAGCAGCAATGATCTTTTCAGCAGAGCTTTTCCAGTATATTTGGCTAGGAAACCACCACCCATCAACAAACAGGTACTGTGTAGTCAACCAGTTTGAAGAGTTAAACCCCTGCTATACTGTGAGCACTTTGCTCCTGGCTGCTAACCATGGCCAGGCACTGAGCATTTGCAAGCTTCCTTTAGCGGGCCAGGTGCTGTGCTAAATGTTAGACGCTGATTGCTTTTGTGTGAATGAGCCTTCATGTATGCATCAGTATAGCAAGGAAGAAGCAACAGGAAAAAAAAAAAACAGACAAAATGAGAAAGGCAGCCAAGCTTGAGATGCAGGCAGGAGAAAGGCGTTGGGAAAGAGCCAATAGGAGAGGCAGGTTTCAAAGAAAAAGGAAAATAGGAGACAGGAACAAAAAGTATACAGAAAATGTGCCTGGTTTAAATTTTGCCATTAGACAGCAGAATAACTCTTTTATAGAATGCATGCTGATAGAGCTGTAATTGGGAAGACAGCTGTATCTTTACCTTTTCTTGAGCAGTAGTATCATAATCTAAAGCATAATTTCCAGTGAAATACTGCAAGAAAGGATTTAACGAGGAAGATTTTTTTATAGGCTTAAAATGTGAAGCTAAATAGGTTTTCACCAAAGAGCTTCAGTTAATTTGCAGCATTTGGGGGAAAAAAAAATCAATGTAATAAGCACCACAGTAAAACTTGAACCATGGCAGAAGCCCAACGACATCGCTAGGATCTATCTCCTATGTAGACAGAGGCATACACCATTTTAAATTCTGTGGGGGTTAGTACCTTGCTTTCCTTAATCATTCATGTCTTTGGGGAAAAAAAAAACTTCAACTATTTTTGCAAGGAGAGTGGCCGCTGGAAGTGAGGAGCTGAATTAAAAGCATTTGCATTGTTTTTTGGAGGGGAGATGACAAATCTTCATCTTAGCTCGTGAGGATTTTTATGGCTTTATTTTGTCTTTTCTTATACATTTATGTCCTATCCTTGAATGCAGATAAACCAACCTGGAACCTCACTATACATAAAAAGCAAAATTAGAAAACATATTTTATAAAGAAGCTGAGTCCAATATTTGTGAAGTAGTAACAAGAAGTAAGTAATGCTAACAGTAAAAAATCATCATTGTGAAAAAGCATTTTGTTTAGTTTCCTGAGCTATCAGAGTATTACTTGCCGCATACAGCAAATGAAATACAGCTAACGTGACTTTTCTCCAAGGGAATATCATCCCTTCAGAGCCAGAAGATTATTTTTTTTTTTTCAGACCTGTTTAGATAGCTTACAAGTTGTTAGTGATTTCTTAGGGATTCACAATAAAAACTGCACAATGCAGAAGTTGCTTCTTAGAAGCCAGTCTTTTACAGTGAATTGTTTACATTGAATCGGAATGAAAGTCATGGGTTCTTTCATTGCATTATGATGTGCAAATTGCAAGTTTGGCTATAACAAAACTGGAGGAGAAAATGGGACTTTATGATAAAAGGATTCTATTGTCTTGTGTGTTTTGAACAGAAATTCCGTCATGATTTTAATTTCCTCGTGATCCCTTTTCAGCAAAACTTCTGTCACTTGTCTTGACTTGTCACGTCAGATCAGTTTTTTCCCTTTTCTGACAATATGTGACTTTGTTTGCAGCCCATGTTGCTTCCTGCACTGTCTATTGCTACTATTCTTGAGGGTTTCATTTCATCTGGATCGTCAGACACCCATGCACCTTTGGAAGCATAAGTTTCAAATTAGGTTATCATCTGATAGCTATGTGTTACTGTTCTCAAGCCTTTCAGACTTTCCCTTACTACGCAGAGTAGTTTGGTGACTCCAGGGGAGAGGGTGAGAGATGGAAAGTTTATCTGCTGTTTAAAGCAGACTGAAATAAATGTAAGTAGTATTCTAATTTTAAGGGCCGACATCATAACTTTTATTATTTTTCATTGCTTTTTCTTTATGTAGGAGCCTTTCCTATTTTTCGTATTGTGAAACGTAATTTTTTTTTCTCTTTTGCCACCATTTTAATGTAATGAAAGTGCTAGCCGGTGAATACTGACAAGTGGCTTTTAAGAAGCAAAATTAAAATTATCTTAGTTGCTGATCCCACACCCAGAAATCTGATTGTTACCTCCTGCCCTGGTATTTGCACCTAGATTGCAGGGAAACTGTTCAGAACCCAAGCACGCCTTAATTTTGTGCTGTATTGGGAAGGACATAGAAAGTGTTGAGTTTAGGTGTTAAAACCTCACATATCTCTGGTTTTATGAAACGTTGCCCTAAGTTTCCCCAGTAATGTCCACATTCTTGTGCTGGTGATTAACAGCTGTGGTGTTTGCATGGACGTGGGGCTGGATTCACACCTGGAGTTCAGGAGCTGTCCTTCCAGATCATTGTTCCAAGCAACTATTCTCCAGACTAGTTCCTTGCAAAGTAACTCGTCTCAGTTTTAGACACTTTTGAAGTGTCTGAAATGTTTCTTTTGTATTGTGAAACTATCCCTGCTTGAAGCTATTCAGGAATAGACATTGTACTTTGTTTAGATGCTGTTTTCAAGTCTAGCTGAGCCTAACCTTGATCTTAGCATCAGAACAAGCCGTTGTCTAGACAAAGATCACGCGTGGATTACGGGACCCGTATCTCCCTTGCATCAATCAGGTCAATGATTCATTACAAGCTTCTGCAGACAAGTATGTGGTAGAGTCCAGGTTAAGACCATGGAACTCTGCCTTCTAATTTTTAAAATTATGACTAAGAAAGCTCATTTGAATTATTATTTTTGCCACACACAGATAAGCATTATAACTTTACCGTACAGCACTTAACTTCAGTGCCTTCTTCAAGTCTTCACCTTTGAGTATGTGATCCTGTTTTCTCCAACTCTTCACCAAAGGGAATATTAGTGAGTGGGTAAGTCATTAGGAAAGGATAACTCATTTTTGTGTGTAGGCAGTTCCACTTAATTCTGCAAGAGCCTGAGAAATTTAAAGTTGGATAACATGGAGAGTTGAAACAGCAGCTGGAGACGTGACCTTGGTTCATATAGCAAGACTCTTGGATAATTAAAGTTCATCTGTAAAGACTGTTTTTCGTAGGATCATTCATTATTTTTTTTTATTGCAGTCTTTAGATACGTTAATGTTTTTCTGATGATTTAACAAGACAGCATTTTTATAGGTTTCTTTAGTTTGGATTTTGTTGCTTTGAACAGCTGTGTATTGCGTGACTGGGTTAAATGTGATTCTATTTGCATATTATATATAAATGCTTATTGTTTGGACCAGGTAAGTAAAAGCTACCATAACATACCTGTGTTTTTGAAAAGCAATGTCAAACTTGAGCAGGGCTGGATTTGGCTTGTATTTAGCCCAAGGCTGGAAAACATAGGGTCTTCAGGTGGTAACACAATAAGTCACAAATTTCTCTGACTTGGTTTAGATTAATGTTTCAATCATGGTTATAAGTGATGACTCCATGCTGCCAGAGGTGATATTTTATATGGAGAGATAAATTTAAGTTCAACCCTGTGTGTATATATTTAAAACAGCCCAGTAACTTAAATGGCCTTTATTCTGGCCACTTTACAATCTGCAGCATTCAACTTAATTTATTTTCTTTGGTGAACTTGTTTGCCCTCTGCATTCATGCTGTTGATGTCTGCTGCTTTCCCATTCCAAAGAGTTGTGTTCAAGGAAGACTGTGCGTTTCATGTGTATTCTTACAGTTGGGATGAAGCATATTTTTCTTCAAACGTTATGAGCTCTTTTCCCCGAGGGAAGGAGGATGGTACTGATTCTGTGTGTCTGAGAGGTACGGCTTAACAGATTGGCCAAATAATCCATTCTGAATTGGAGAGTGAATAATTTTAATACCCCTTATCTTGCATAGATTTTTGTGGATACTCATCTCAGCAAATGAACTTTGCATTTCTAAATGTTTAGAGCAGCATGTTCATTCAGGTATAGCATACTTGAATCTTAATATTCTCCAAGTTTCTCCAAGTTTCTGGGGATGGGGAACTTTTGTTCCTGGCATATTTAACAAAACTGTTTGTGCCTGCATGCAGACAACGTTAATGATGTCTGACAGTCACAATTGGGAATAGCATGGAGGAAATAATAGTTCTTGACCAGTCGCTAAAACACAGGAAGTGCTGGTGCCATAGGAAGGGAGAGAAACTCACTTTTCATTTCCTTTTGAGTCCAGTGTGTTCAGATTAGCTTTCAAGGGAACTGAGATGTAGCTCTAAGGATTTGGTCTTCAATCGAGTGTTACCTATGCGTGGAGCCCATCTCAGCAGGCAGTTAGTCAGCAGCCAGGAAAGCTCTCATAGCTCAGCTGCTGGGTATCCTATTGCAAATTAAATATGAAACAAGGATACATTTGGTTTTGCATGGGAAACTTTAACACATGCATTAGAGAGGCTTTCTTTCTGTTCTGAATATTTTAAATCACAATATTGCTGAAGGTGATAGCTCTTCTGTAATCTGTCAGGGATATCTCATTTCTTTTGCTGTTTTAAAAAGAATTGATGGATTTTTACCATTCCTGTGTGCAACAGTTTTAATTTTAACACAAGTTTTACAAGTTCAGATCAGCAAGAATAATTTGCAAGGCATATTGTAGTAATGTTTTTTTCAGTATGTGTGTAAATGTAAATATTTTCAGTATGATTGCAACATGAATATATATTAATGTATTTTCAAGACTAAAGTTGCGGTTAATGTCACCCATCCTTCCTTGTCCAGAGAGTTTGAGCTGGGATTTCTAGGCAGCCTCAGAATTACAAGTGAAATCCATTTCAATTTTAATGAGATCTAGCCATTCGTTTATCACCCTTTAACATCAGACCTTATATTTTTCGTCGCTGAAAAGAATATCCTTAAAAAAAAAAAGGCATAAACTCGCACTGATTTTGATGAACTGAAAAATCAAAGTGGAATTTTATAGCCGTGATGGTGTCAGTTCGTATACTGCTCAGTTACACTCACAAACTGCTGCACACGGAGGTTATTGCAGCTCATGCTGACTGTCAGTATTAAGACAATACAATCATTTTAGCACAGTTACAGAAAGTAAACTTCACATGAATTAGAAAGCAATAGCATCTTAATGTTTGTGTTGCCTTCTCTTAGATGTGTTGATTGTCACAGACTACAGTTGATGCATAATCTTTTAAACATAAGATGATTCAGGCTAAAGCACATTTCTCCAAAGCCTCACTTATAGAAATGGTCCATCCTTAAGGAGACTTCCTTCACAGAGACATTCTCTCTCAAAAGGAGCTGAGCTCCTTATGTGCACTTTCTGTCCGTAATTTTACACAGGCTGGGTGCTGGTGTAAATCTATCATATTAAAAACCCACAGTGTTGCTTGGTAAAACTCAGAATGGAGGTCATGTGTGGAGCCAGGAGTTGGATTCAGTATTCACAGGTCCTTTCCAAATTGGCGTCTTCTAAGAAAATGCTTCCACAGTTGTAGAAAGTGAAGAATGGGAATTAATTTTTAAACTTACATTTTGCAGTATTTGCTATTGGTAGAATTTGATTTTGTACTTGTGCAGGACATGTGTCCTGTGCTCTGCCGTGGTGGGTTAAGGTTGTGCTGTGACTTTTCTAGGCTAAACCAAACAGGATTGCTGCAGTGTTCATACAGGAAACGCGCACAGAAAAAACACTGGAGCAGGAAATAGTGTTGATTAGTAGATGGCATTTTATAAGAAGCTTGCTCTGCTGCTGAGACCGGCATATTTCAAATGAGATGAGAAATTAAGTCCTGGCCACTTGTTGCGATTAAAGCGTTGGTGGCTCACTTTTCAAGAGTAGCATGTTAAACCTCCTGGCGCGGTTCCAGTTGGGTTATAGAGTTCTGCCAACCTAAATGCCCCAAGCAGTTTCAAATTCATTGGGTAAAAACCACTCGGCACTGAGTAGCCACTGCATCCTCCCACCACGACTACTGTGTTTCAGTGGTAATTCAAGTAATTGTGAGTTGAGGCCAGGTTCTATTGACTGAATGCATGCAGCAAGCTTTTGTTCCTTTTTTCACGGCAAATCCAGCAGTGCACGTGTATTTTCTAGGTTGGTGTAGACCTGTGTATAATATGGATAATAACTTCCATGTGATATTTTTATATCGGTGTGTATAGAAAAGGTGTGTGGGCTTTTAGAGCAATTATATGCAAAAAAACACGTTAAGAGGGACAAATGGTTATAATGTGCTGCGACAGAAAGGTGTGTGATGTGGGGAGGTGTTGCTGGCTGTGGTATATTCACCACCAGAAGAATGCATGTCGGGGTTAAATAACTTCCAGTAGCATTGTGTGAAATGGAATAATTCTTATCAGCCCCCAGTAGAACAGCAAACACTTGTGCTTTCAGACTGCAGTGTTACACATGTGCTTATTCTGTGCAGCAGCTATTGGCCTTATCTAAATGGAAAACCCTTTCCAGCTTGAGAACAACTTAGCAACTTTTTAGTATCAAAAAGGGCGCATTATATACAACATATGTACAAGACTCAAAGGAACATGTATGCTGCCTAAAGTTTTTGGAGTTACAGTGTGTGTACGCTAATCTCCTGAGAGTTCATTGCACCATGCTTTTATCAAGAGCAAAGGGAGCCGAGCTGGAGGACTTCTATACGCAGCCGCTCCATCTGAAAGAACCAGCTCCTTCTTTCTCCGTTCAAGGCAGCGTGCCCAGAAGTATGTGCACATCGCTCCTATCAATACAGTCACAGGACTCCGACTTCCTTTTTATGTGAAAATAAATGAAAATGTTTTAATTCCTTATTGTTACACAGCAGAGGAGGTTTCTGCTGCAGTCTAATTGGCTTAGATCTGTTTCTCTGTGCAGTGCATCTTTGCATTAAGCTGCTGTTACCTTTAATGCTGCATAGAAGAGATGAAATGCATTGGTAGTGTCTCAAGAGGAAAAACTTTATATTTTCTTTTTACAAAGAAAAGCATGAAAGTGGCTTAAAAAACTCCTTCTTCTGTTTATCACAGATGACTCCAAGGTGACAGCAGTTCAAACTGCTCAGCTTTGCTGCAGCCTGTCTGTGTCCAGTTTTGCAGTTTCTTTGCCTTAATTGGTGTACGTTTTGCTTTCCCTGATAATCTTTTATGAAAGGGCAGTGAGATGAGGGAACAACTGAGCTTCAGAGTGAGAGATCCCGTCCAGAAGTCATGTCCACGCAGTATCACATGAACACGGAGAGAACACGGCAGCTATCAGATAACACGCTGAACACGATTCTCCAGAATTAGGTGACTTTGTTTCCTTTCCTGTATTTAGTGTCCTGACGTCTAACAGAGGTCAGGGTTACTTTTTGAACAGCCAGAAATGCATTAGTTCCATTCTTTTTCTGAACAGTAGTTCATTTCTTTCTCTAGCATTAAGTCAACAGCTGTAACCTTTTCAATTTAATGAGCCAAACCTTTGTTCAGAGAGGAGCCTCTCCTGGTCACAGGTAGCATGGTACATGAACATATTTAAGGCAATCAGTTGCTGTAAGAAACAGCACGCAAAGAATAGTCCTACTTCTTCATCCAGACAACCAAGTTCCTAATTACAGCAGAGTTTACTAAAAATGACACTTGGCAAAAATCCAGAGCAACACTCAGCCTCGCTGCCTCTTGTTTTAGAGGCAAGTTAGCTGTTCTGTCATCACACCTTCTGATTTAATAGATGACAAGTTAGCAACACGTGGAGATGATTTTACTTCTATTTGAAAGTGTATTAATTCTGTACTCGCCAAGGATTTATATTTCTTTAATGTTAACTGCTTATACCGAGTTGTCTAATGTATACCTTCACTCTGCCAATGCAACTCAAGGCTTTATTCTGCAAAACTCAGTTCAGTTCTTGCAAGCTTTAATTTTGCTTTTTGTGTGTGTATCTCATTTATAGCATTCATAGTCAAGTATATGTTCTTAAAACAATAGCAGCACGATTTGGTTACATACAGCAAATGAAATAATATGAAAGATATAGGCTTTCTCTAATCTGAATCTCCGTAGCATTTTATATTGCTGTATGTTATAAAATATGTGTCTATAAAATACATTTCACAAATAGAATGTTTTTAAAACTTTTTTTTTAATTAACATCACTGAAAGACTAGTAATAATGGTTACTGCATTTTAATTAACTTTAATACAGGGTTTTTTTTCCTATGTTTACTTAAAATTGCTGAATAGATCTTTCTACCACCGCCTTCTTTCTTGCTTGAAAACAAAATGAAGGGGTATGTATCCTGTGAGAGTGGTTTTTGTACACCGCACACAAGCTTTCAGAATGGAGACTTTGGGATGGAAGCCGAGAAGAGCAAAACAAGCACATGCAAAGAAAATTAAATGTTTAAGGCTGATCTGAGCACTGCAGATCAGATAACTACACTCATAGTGTGTCTTCTTGGGAGGTTGTATAAGTACTTACTATGCAATAATCTCTGTTAAAGAATAAGAGCATAGTGTATGATACACCTGGCACAGTTTAGGTCCAACAGTTTGATCCTGGCAGTCAGAAGACCAAAAAAAATCCCAAAAGGCAGCAAAAAATGGTCTGGGTGTTGCAATTGCTAGAGTTGGGGAGAAAGGGAAAACTAAAACATCTGTTGATGAAGAGCATGCTGTGTGGTTGAATGGAACCAAAGCCATCAGAGTATACCAAACTCTTGGCAGTGTCATTGCCATCCCAGGTTCAGCCCTGGGAAAATCACAGCACCATGACCTGTTTCCATTCTGTCCTGTGTGGTGATATTTGGGGAAGGGAGATGATGGCTTGGAGGGAGCCAAACTCTTCCTGCAGCTGTGGTGTAGTTCCAGCATTGAGCTCTACGAGGGTAGTTTTTGGTTTGTGATGGAAGAGGGATATTCACCAGGATAAAAGCGTGTCTGGGTTTTTTATGGTGACAGATAAAGGGATGGCACTGAACAAATCGGCTTGATTATTAAAAACATGAGTAGTGTTAAAAGGGCACTTCTGTAGGGTCATTTTATAGTGCTGAGCAGAACCCAAGACCAGTTGTGCTTGGGTGTATTGTTTGTCCAGGAAGGTGTGCTATATTGAGATGTCTTTTGGATCCAGAGCATTTGAGAATTCCGTGCATTAGAAGTTACACAGTGGCCTTGTACAAGAGACACTGGGGCAGCATGTGCTTGAGGGACTTCACTCAGAGACTACTTCTACACCTTTTTGTCTGATATTCCGCAATAGATCCATCTAATGACAAGTGGGAATCCCTGCTGAGAACAGGAATCCATTGGTACAGGCTAAGGGGTTATACTTGCTATGCTACAAGAGCAGATGGGTACAGTCCTGTTGTGTGCAGACTGATTCTGGGGTGTTCTTGTCCTCCATGAAGCAATGGAGCCGTGTGTCCACAGACTGTTGGTCAATATTTGGGCCTTGTTAATGAACCAACTGTTTGGAGAATACACATTCCACTGTTTTTTCTCTTCATTAATCTTTTAGATATCTTGGAAAATGAGATATTTTTTTCGTTCTTCATAAAACTCAATCAGGTGAGATCTGGTATTCTCAAATAACACAGCTGTGGTTTTTCACCATAGCTACCATATCTCATTTGCTGCTTAATGCAAATTCAATAATCATATTGGTTCAGACTTCTATGTTTATTGCATCGATGTGTTTTTAACAGTAATATTTTACAAATCAAGGCAGAACTACGTAGGTAGCACTCTATCTTCAGAGGAATTTTCAACTTGAAAGTGCAGTAAACTTTGTTAGCTAGAAAATCCCGAGGTGTAAAAGCCTGAAAGTTCTATATCACTCTTCTCCCTTCAGATACCACACGTGCAAAAATTTTATAGCATTGTTCCAAGCCTCAAGTAGAAAGAAGTTATGACTTAAGGCTATTGAACACATAGCTTTCAGACAGCTGCACGTTCTGCTATTTTTAAACACTTCTTTGCGTTCAACCAAAAGCTCAACCTATTCGATGTGATAATGTATTCAGTGCACTTTGATTTAAAACACTTTTCATATTTTAGCTGCTTTTGCTAATAAAAAAAGGTGGATGGAAGGAAATATTTTGTGAGATGAAATAGCTGAAGTCGTAGGGCAACTTTCTCAAAGAAATTGAGCTTCTGTGCAGAATTCATGTGTAAGAAGTTGTATTTTTAACAGATACAGCTGTTTGTGTTTTTTTTTTTTTTTCCTGAGAATTATAAATGTCTGAGGCATGATTTAAAATGGAAATAGCCAATTTCCAGTATAGTGTCACTATCAAATAGCTGGAGAGTGCGAATAGATACAGAAGAATTATCTGATGATATCTCTTGGTCTTTTACTTTCAATGCGCTTCACGTTTAATGCCAAATGAAGTGTGCATGTATGTGCTTATGGATGTTTCCAAAAGTGACTGTAGCCTGTATGCTGTCAGTGCTCAGTGAGTTTTAGTTTTCTTTAGCTAATTTGTTTCTTTATTTTTTTTAAAACCTCATACGCTCTTTTCCCTCACCTTAACACATGTTACATGTATATCACTTTGCTAAACAAAGATGTTTAGCAGTTTTTTATTTATATTTTTTTCTGAAAGCACAATCCTTCCAGCATTCTGGAATCTTCATTTTTCTGAAGTCCCTCCTAATGTGTGCACAGCTTTTCAAGCTGATGTGTCCTGCCACAGCTAGAACTTGGTTTTGGCATACGGACCTGCACTGCTCCCATGCAGTGCTGTGTGTCTTTGTCTCCAGTGAAGGCTGCCCGAAATGCTGCGGTCAAATTTGCAGTATTGTATTCCGTGTGTCTCTTCTTAATGAATAGGTTTCTTGGAATTAATATTGTTTCCTGCACGCTGAGATCAGCTTACTTCTTCTAAGCATAATAGTTTATTTATGCATGTATTTCTAATAGCTGTCATTTTCTATTAGTGTCTGCTCCACACTCTCACTATTGCACCTTCTGACAAGGTTCATTTAATGGTATCACCCCTATTTTTAGAGTTTGCTGCAATAAGAATGTGCCTAAATGAGACTCATACTCTCTGCATTTGTTCATTCCCACTCATCTTAATTCTTTCAGCATGTTTAATTTTTTGTCCCAAGACTTTTCAAGTAAGAAAATTTTGTGATGCTGTCAGATATCGAACTTTAAAGCTTCTATTATAGTCTCCAGTTATCTGTTAGTTTTGTAGTTCTTTCAGAAGAATCTGAAAATTGATCAAGTTATCTTTTTTTTTTATTTCCCCTGCCTAGTCTTGTAATGTTTTTTGAGCACATCCTAATTCTGTTATGGGTTGAAGTGGTGGTTGTTAGGGTCATTCTTCTGAAGTGCGTGTATATTCTGGACTTACTGATAATATTAATTAGATACATGTAATAACAAGCAGCTTTAGTAATTAGCAACCCCCTGATAGAGACGGCACAATAGTTGGAGACATGAATTTTCTCGAGCAGCAAGACAAAACGATTCAGATGCTCTTCTTGTCAGTATCAAAACAATGTTGTCTGCTACGTGCAGACTTCTTGGTAGTGTCTACAGGACACACGCTGTTTGGTACCGACTGTAATTCTGGAACTTAGAGTGGTGGGTACTGCCTGGAACTACTGAGAAAGGGGAAGAAAAATGCAATGTGTTGGTTTTATATCACTAAAAATCCATTTATTCTATCAGAGTTCTCTTACAGAAATGTGAAGGTGTTATTAAGGAAGCAGAAGCAGTTGGAAATGGAAACAGCTGCTAAAAGTTAAAAAAAAAAAAAAAAAAAAAAAAAGTACTACCCCCCCCTTCCCTAAACCCACGCAGTGTAAATTGCAGATAAAGAGAGACTTTGTGCTTATTGCTATTTTTCCATCTCTTATTTTCTTGAGATATGTATGGTGTTTGTTCACTGTGGCTAAGATGTTAATTCTGTTTTACTGGATTATGTGGCAAGTAAAAGCACAAAACCAAGGGGAGAGTTCAACAGAACAGGGGAGAGAAACAACCCCAGGCTGTAACCTCTGTAGCTCAATCTCAGCACTGCAGCCTTTTTCCTGCTCTCCAGGCTCCTATTTGGGACAGGGATGTGACTGTAACCCAGAACAATTCCTACAGCAGTTTCCTCTACAGTTCTTGCACCGGCCCCCCTCCCCAGAAAAGGATGCATTGGCACTGCACTGTTTTGATACTGATGATCCAAATTTGGGGACTGTTCTGGTCCAGGTCTCCCAGCAGTGAACTTACAATTAGATACAATTACTTTTCCCTATTAAACGTGGTTTACATACCCCTTATTCAAATTTCAGTTCAAATTCCCATACATTTTTTTATAGGTAAAGCCTTGTGTGAGATACTGATATGGAACAGAAATAACAAGGAAGAATGACTGAAAATCCAATGAGTTGGACTCAGTGATCTGTGTGGGTCCCTTCTAACTCTGGATATTCTGTGATTCTAAAATTCATTGCTTTCACAAAGTGGCTGTTCTGTGTGCTGTGATGAGCAGGCAGTGTTGTTAATAATGTTTTGTATGTGAAAGGAACAAACTGAATAATCTGAAGGCTCCAGAAAGATATGATGTTCCCTATAGGAGTCTCTTAGCAAAGTTCTTCCGGTTTGTTACTTACAGTCTCACAATTTGTTTCCCTTCTTCAAATTACTTTGGGCATTTGCAGTACTTTTTCTTTGCATCCTTGACTCTCATAAGTTTTTTTTGCTGAATTTTCCAGACACCTTTCAAGGGAGGACAGTTCTGATCTGTTCAGCAACCGCTGCAGTTTGGCACGAGTTTGCTACCGACGTATACCAGTCACTTCTGTTCTGAAATAGGTGTTCCTTTTTCTTAGGTTTCCTGTCTTGTTTTCTCTTTCTATTTTTTGGGGGGAAAGTGCACATTTCACTCCACTTTAATAAATTTTAAATCCTTAAACTAAAGCTGCTCTGTGGGCTAATATTGTAGCTGTACAAAGTGCATTGCTGCCCTCACCCAATCTAAAAGCTCTGACTCCATTAACTTTTACAGGAGTGATCCGTGGAAAAAAAGTTCTCCATTTAGGGCTTTGATAGCGATATGCTGTCTTGGAAAACGTTTCTTGTGTTTACTTTACTGTATGTAAAAAGGTGCGCCTATAAAATCTGATCTCACACGCTGTTACTTATTTTCACGTTGTGGGAAATGTAACTGCAAAAAATCAATTAGAGGCATGAATATATAGCAAAATGATAAATATGCTCTTGGAAAAAAATCTGCTTTGTGTATTTTAGCCTGAGTTTGCCACTGTAATAAATAGTCGTCATGAAAGCTGCCATGTACATCCCAGATATTGGCAGCTCACCGTATATCACTGTATTTTAGCACACACAAATTAAGGTATTCTTTCTCATTTTCACTGAGCAGAGAGCAAAACATACCCAGAACAAGAGCTGGAAAAATACTTCTAAGACAAAAAGCACGGGTTTGTGATTTGAGGAAGGCTGATCTAAAAAGTTGTGGTGTAAAAAAATGGGTGTTGTAGGATTAACAGCGTGCAGAGGGGAGAGTTTATACTCCCTTTTCTTAGCTGTCGATCCTCCCTCCATTTCCAAACAAACTGTGGAAAGACTTGTGAATAAAATAAGAATTTTTTTTTCTCTAACAGAGGAAAAAAAAAGTTTGTTTTCAGGGAGCAGAAAAATATTTTTCTTTCCTCTCTTTGCCAGTATCTTCATCCTGCCGTGCTGCAGGGACTGGCAGCAGGCAGAGAGCAGGGAGCGGGTGGGCAGCACGGCTGGGGTGGGCTCAAACTCTGGGGAAACTGGCTATCGGTGCTCAAACCCCAGGTGGGGAATTGATGTGAGGGGCTGCTGTGTTCTTCTGTGTCACCTGGATGGGGAACTTCTGGCCATCTGGGTTTTGAGATGAGTGAGCAGATAGATCCCTATAAATTAGGAATGCTTTAAAAATTGTTTGTATATATTTGATTACACTAATCTGCATATCTGCTCTTCTCATGTCTTCCTTATTTCTCTTAAACGCCACAATTTAACAGGGAGGAAATGTTTTTCCCTTTAATTGCTTGCTGGGCATTTTGCACATTGAACAGTCAAACTTTTTGTAATTTTTCATTATTGTGATTATTCAGAGGACTGTGCAATGTTTTCTGTTTTGTTGACAATACGAGAACTCTTGTGATTCACAGCCTGCTCTATTTGCTTAGCAGTACACGCTGAATTGAAGAATATTTCTTTTAAGAATAAAATGCAACAGCATAGTGCAGCCTGCAACAACTGGGAAGTGACGGATGCCAGATTTCAGGTTGCACAACTGTGTAACACAACTCCAACTCCCTTCAGAAAGCCAAAAAGCAAGGCACCTTAAACATGCATTTATTTCAAGTCTGCACATTTAAACGTGCAGAAAATGGACTTTTAGGATTCAACAGTAACAGCAAATTCTCCATTGGTTGTATACCGGTAGTTAAATAGTTTGGTCTACCTTGAACATACGATATTGCACATCACTGATGCTGCATTAATAATACACTTTTTTTGTTGTAGTTGCACTGAAGTGGTTCAGCACCTTGACTTAACCTTTGGTGTGCACGTGTCCAGTAGAGGCTCACCTGCAGAAAAAAGTTCAATAGAAACTTGTCAAAATTAAGTTTACAACACAGATTTGAAATGTAAATAGCTGGTATATGAGGAAGGATGCCTGACTCTTCAAAAAGAAATAGTTTTGAACTCAACCTTTTCTGTACTACTGTGTAAGCAACTTCTATTTCGGGACGCAATTAACCAAAAGCACCAAATGCAAAACAGAGGTGAATCAGGATGCAGAAAGCCCAGGGCTTGTAACAGTACACAGTAAATAAAAGGGCTGTAGGGATTGTTAGGAGTTCCTCATTCTTTGAAATTAGCAGCACCTGTAGGTACTCCCAACCCTGAAGGTTTATACCTACTTCTAGCATCTAGATTTCAATCCACTGTACTTGATAAAGATCGCAGAAGTCGGTGTCCATATCAAAGCATGAGTGAGCATCCTGTGCTGGCTCGCTAGCACTGCCATCTAGATGAGCATCTGCTAGATTGCCACCTCGCAGGAGACTTGCAAGCTGTTGGGAAAGTTACACTGCTCTACAGTACATTAAAAAAGCGCTGGCATTTTACAGTGTTCTCGTTTAAAACCACAAAAAAAAAAAAAAAAAAATTAGAATTATCCAAAATATTTAAAGCAAGCCAACTTTTCTTTTTCTTACTACTTATTCTGCTTAAGTAATCTTATGACTGCCATCTAATTCAAAACACCTTTCTTTTGCAGGTGACAAAAGCTATCTGTGAGTTATTTGGTATAGAACTAGAATTTTGGGAAAAGACAGCGCTCAGGCTGCTAAAATGGTGGTTAATTTACAGCAGTTGAAATTCTTAAAACTTTTGTTAGAGGAAAAAAATTGAAGTAGAAGCCACTACCTGCTTATTTCTCTTATTCTGCCAGCCCAGGGATGTTAAGGGAAGGTCTGTGGACATGGTCAGTCTTGAACTCAGGTTCTACAACTGTAAAACTGTGGTCGCTAAGTACATGGGTCATTCTGAAGTAATGCCTCCTATTTGTTTCCATGGGAACTGCAACAGATAGAAGGAGCACAACAGCACTATTTGATAGAGCAAATTCTCAGCTACAAAACATTATTTTTCCATAGTCACCATCATTAGCTGTGCATTTTCACCAGTAGTGAACAATAGCCTGCATGCTGTTCTCATAAAAATCTGCACCAGTCCAGGTGCTCTGGTGTTGCCGCTGCTGAAACGCACCATCCACAGCTTCACTGTGCTCATATATCAGTTGGGAATGTTCAGATTCTACTGCCAAACCACCACCTGATGTTATGTCATAAAATGGGAGGCATTGCTTTTGGATCAGTGCCCATAGTTTCCCCAGACACATGTGATTAGAGTAGAATGGCCAGGGTTGGAAGGGATCTCGAGGATCATGAAGCTCTAACCTCCCTGCCACATGCAGGGCCACCAACCTCCACATTTAATACAGACCAGGCTGCCCACTCCCCATTCAGTCTGGCCTTGAGCACCTCCAGGGATGGACAGGGCATCCACAGCCTCTCTGGGCAGCCTGTTCCAGCACCTCACCTCTCTCATAGTAAAGAACTTCCCCCTGACATCCAACCCAAATCTTCCCTCCCTCAACTTAAAATCATTTCCCTTTGTCCTGCTGTGATTTACCCTTTCAAAGAGTTGATTCCCCTCCTGTTTGTCCTTTTGGCCCGCTCACTTGTGCCATGTTTCTTTTACTCAGCCCTTTTGAAATCCCACTTGTAACCAATGGTGGTGGTAATGGAGCAGTCATTCAGTCTATCTTGAGGGAAAAAGAATGGCAGGGAAGTTGTCAGAAATTACCATGCTACACTTTTTGGTCACGCCCAGATCCTTTTCTCCCCATTTCAGTTTCCCCTTGACCATCTGGATGAGAATTCTAACTCTCCCAGTGGTGCAACGGCATTTCATTAGCAGATTTGCAGTGTTTCGAGGGAATGGTCCCTAAATGCAATGAGATGCCTGGCTGCACATCCTGAGCAGCTACTGAGCATTATTTTGATGCATCAGTAGAGGGCACTGTTGTTGCGTTAAAAGCACTTGAAAGTCTCTTCTCCAGCTTTTCTTGATAAATATATATATATTTTTTATTTTGGAAAGTGTTTAATGTTCTCCATGTAATTAAATTCAGCTCCCTGTATAATTAGCAATGGAGCCTTATTCTCTGTGCCACTGCTGTGGATAGTATTATTTTTGTCTCTATTTGCCTTCAGTCAATGCAAAATGCCGTTGTCTATCAGAATGAAGAAAGTTTTATTGCTCTCTCTCAAAGCTAAGCAATATTTAAAGGTGGAAATATAAAGCTGTTTAGTTAGTTTCATTTAGTTACTCAGTGTAAATAGGAAACCTTTAAAATTCCTGCTCATGGCTCAGGAAATAGCAGAATTAATGCGCCGTAATAATTTTACTTTTGTATCTGAATGTGTGTTGTAATGTTGTCGGATTGTCGGTACTCGCAGGTTATTACAAATACACATGCATATACAAATACCCCCGGTAGTTAATTAGATGGCAGACCTATTGATTTTATTTGGCAGATATTTTTTTTCTTTAAATTGTTTTCCTCTGTATCTTTGCAAGAAGTTGTGCTGCGTTGGTGCTGTTTAGCATATTGAAATATTAAATACAGAGCGATCAGGCGTAGTTATTTTTCATTAATTGCAAATGCAAAGTAATTACTATGACCTCGAAATAGTTTATTTGTCCAAATACCTGTAAACATTCTACTTTTTTTTCTGATTTATGAAGTCCAGCTACAAAACACTGCGTTAGAGAGAAATAATTTTCTGAGGTGCCGGAGATCTTAAATCGTAATGCTTTGCATTACCTTCGGGAGCTCTTACTGCTCGTAAGGACGTGATATTTGGAAGATGGAAGTCTATTAATATTCTGTTGCGTTCAGCTCCTAAATTGGCAAGTACATACACCATTAATTATAAAAGCCATGTTTGAGTTTTCTTTCAGAAAGCAACTCTTTGTCCGCGACTGCTTGAGTTACACGAACAACCTGGAGAAGTTTGCGTTAGAGATTGAGGGATATGTTCTGCCTCAGACTGCCAGGATACTCTTACATTCCTTTAAAAACCAACCACAAAAGCCATCTTCCCCCAAATCTCCACTGCCTTAGAAATAGCTGGGATTTTTTTTTTTTTCCTCCCCATAGTTGAAAAATGGTAATTAAGTTATCATCAGCTAAAGGCGTATGGAAGGAGCACCGAGGAGTTGGAATCGAAAGCGGCCGACTCCACACAGCTCTGCAGGAAATCGCAGGCTCGGGGCTGGGTCCTGCCATGGCCCTGCTGCCTTTGGGGGCTGTAGGGTCTCCGTTAGGGTCATGGGGTCTCTGGGAAGTGAGGATCCAACCCGCTGCAAACGGACTGCTGTCTCAAGGCCAATGCTGTGTCCGAAGTTGCCGCTAGGATGTGGCAACTTTAAATAACAAAGGCCAAAGTTGATTGTGTTGCTTTTTTTTCATGTAGTACTGCTACGCAGCTGGCTTTTGCCTCTCTCAAAAAAGCACACTTACAATGTGCTGCACAGCAACGTTACTGATGATCTGGCCATAAATATTTTCTAAGGGGACTAATGCTATGCTGTAGGAAACTGTAATTCAATGTACTGTTCAATGTGCTGTTCTTTAAAGCTTTCTTCCGTGTGGCTTCCTATTTATTAATGTCTCCTTACATCTGTTCAGTAGGCTAATGCTAACACAAATTCTTGTTTCATCTGAAACATTAATAGTGATGTACTGCTCCTGTATCATCTCTGTAGCTGTTATCTTTTGTATGTTTTCCCCGTGAGAGGCTATCGCAGGTTTTTAGCCCAGACTGTTTGTATTCGACAAGGTCAAGATAAGTTTTATCTCTAATAGATAAGTCAAGTGCATTGGGATCGATACACTTACAGTAAAATACATTGGCAATATTTATTGCCAAGATCCTAATGAATTTTTAAAGCTTGTAAGAATCTGGCAGTGCAGAGGAGGTGCCTTAAATGGTTGTTTCTTGCAGGACCTGTGCAATTACAACTTTTTAAAAATAGAAAGTGGGCAACTTCATATTTTTAATGGGGATGGAGCTTTGAGCTCACCTTTCCCCAGCTCCCAGCAGATTCTTAGGGCACAATCATAATACGTGTTTGCCTTCTCTATTAGCTTGAGAGTATAGGGTTTTATGAGGCCTGTTCCCAAATTACTTCCTACTGTTGTAAAGTTGTTCTGTTTTTAGCACAGTAGTAGGTTTTTAGAATTTTACCTTCCATTTGTATTGACAAGATAATTGTTTCAGTTCTGACGGAGTAGCTTAGGCCACTTTCATTTGTGATAGAAATTTCCCAGGGTACATATTTATGCGGTTAAATCAATAAGTGTTTCATAATCTCTCTAAATACTTATGTAACTTAATAATTCCATCCATTATGGTGCAGCTACTTAAATATGTATTTTATGTAGGGGCATTTAAAAATGCAAATTATAGGGATTATTTTCCTTCAGGCTTTGTATTTTTCTGTTGCATCAGATAGAGAGTAAGAAAATTAACCCACAAAAAATCCTACCAAAGTAATACTGAAGATCTGACTTATATCCGGTGAAGATAATTTGTTGATAATGCCTTGTGACTCATTCAAACTCATTTTGCTTTCTGTGTTTTCTGCAGTTGATCCATACGAAGCAGCCCTGGTGCTTTAACATAAGAACTAAGTTAGGGAGAAAGTTTCTACATTTGCCCCTGTCGCCAACTTTGGAGCCTTTTAGTAATACATGACGGTATATTTTTGTGGGTGTGTTTTCTATCCCTTCTGTCTTCAGAGCACCCAAAGATGGTTTCACTTTTAAATTCACAATCAGGATTGATAATGCTGTGTTCGGAGGCTGCCGTGTAGCTTCTCTTCGTCTTTACTACGGAGGTTTGATACCTGACACATTTAATTTAATTTAATTAGGGAGGCAGAACCCCATCTTGGTGTTCATTAAGGGGATTATTCATCAAAGTTATTGCTTCCTTGATGGAGAATAACAATATCACTCGCAATGGCTGATGTTGCTCTCATAATTATATTACTTTCTACTATTTTTCTCTCCAGGGCTTTGTACTTAGCTTCTTTATTTAAAAAATTTAAATTGAGGGAAGCATAAACTTCTGCTATAGCAAATTCGCAAGGGCCACGTCTATTTTATCCTAGTAGCTTTATGTCATGTAAATGCTTCGTTGGAATTTTTTCAGCTTTTTATTGGTTCTCTGAGCTGTCTTTAAATATTTGTATTTCTTTCAAGCTTAGCTGCGTGTCAACTCAGGGCTGGGGCTCCTGGCTGCCTGCTTGCTGATGGAGCTGAACTCTGCCGTGCTGAAATCCTGCAGAGATCGCTGTGGCAAGGAAGGCTCTGCAGAGCAGGGAGTCACCATGGGGTTTTCTGGAACGGAGTCACCATCAAATGTAAAATTAATAAGGGAGGGGAGAGCAGGCTGTTCGCAAAAGTTATCTTTTGTAACGCAGCCCTAATCAAATATTCAGAAAATGGCAGCTTTAAAAATAGAATAATTGTCTTTTTAAAACATGACTAGTTTGGTTAATTTACCCCCAAGTTATCCGGTGTCTGTGACTCAGAAAAACCCTTATCTACTAAGGGTTGGGGGGGGGAAAGCACTGCAGAAAAGGTGACAAGTTTTCACCTCTTTCCTCAGAGAACATTTTAATTCCGCTTTAATCAGCCTGCCAATAAAAGAGTACTTGGCTTTCAAGGGGAAGCAAATCAAAATATGCATTTATCAGTCATGAGGCAGGATTCAATCGCTCACAACTGATGAACTCCAAAAGGAATGAAACCAGTACCATCACGCTGCCTTGGTGGTTTGCTTTGTACCATCAAAGACCTGGTACTATCTTTTGCTGCCACATCCACTGTTTGTCTGTCATCCGTAATTACAGCTTTTCAAAAGAAATGCTTCATAATTGCTCTTAATGGTTAAAACAAAAAATTTTGCATCTAGATAACCGAATGAGCGTTCTGCTGCGTGCAGATTTGTGTGCTCTGCAGCTGCCAAAATAACTGGAAAAATACTTGGCCAGAGATGAGGCGGGGGAAAGAGAAAGAGGTTGTGAAGTGGTGCTGCCAGTGTTACAATACAGGACTCCTGGAAGGGCATGCCACGGGCCTGTCTTATTAAAATAAACTTTATTTTCCACTAGGAAGGGAGACTTGAGGGTCATGCTGCACTGCACAGGTGGGCTCTCATTTCAGGCTCCTCTCTGCTGTTCCAGTTAGGAGTGAAGAGCCTAAAACGGAGAAAAAGAAAGGTTTTTTTTTTGTTTTTTTTTTTTGTTTTTTTTTAATTTAAGCAAAGTTGGATGCTGTTTCATGTATGGGTGTTTCTGGGTGGTGAGAATTTGTTGCTCCAGCTTTTGTGCTTGTTTAGC